TGCAACACCTCTTCTCTGGCACAGCCCCTCCCTCCTCCAACACTTCCTCCTCCTCCGTAGTGCTTGGTGAAGCCCTGCAGGAATACCACAAGCTCCACCACCACGCCGTCATACTGCCGGAGCTCTCCCTCAACTTCTCCTCTCCCATTGCTGGATCAAGAAGGAGGAGACGTCCCCGGGCTGTACATGTGTTGAACACGGAGGCGCCGTCCATTCGGTGCTAGATCAGATCTTCCCCGATTTGAATCGCCGCGAGTACGACTCCATCATCCGTGTTCTTGTAACGCTTTCGCTTAGCGATCTTCAAGGGTATGAAGATGCACTCCCTCTCTCTCTCCCATTGCTAGTATCTCCTAGATTGATCTTGGTGACACGTAGGAAAATTTTGAATTATTGCTATGTTCCCCAACAAAAGATTGATATATTGGAAGGCTACATTCGGACATCGGAATGGTTCGGGTCATTTCGGATAAGTTTCGGAGTACCGGGGGTTACCGGAACCCCCTCCGAGAAGTTAATGGTCCTTAGTGGGCTCTAGTGGAGAGAGGGAAGAAGGGCCACAAGGTGGCGCGTGCCTCCCCCCTGCCCAAACCGAATTGGACAAGGGGTGGAGGCCGAATCCTATTAGGTTTGGATTCCTAGTAGGACTCCACCCCCATGGCGCGCCTCCCCTCTTGGCCGGCCTCCTCCTCCCCCTCATTTATATACGTGGCCATGGGGCACCCCATAGACACACAAGTTGATCAAGTTGATCTTTTGGCCGCGTGCGGTGCCCCCTCCACAGATTTCCACCTCGATCATATCGTTGTAGTGCTTAGGCAAAGCCCTGCGTCGGTAACTTCACCATCACCGTCGACACGCCATCGTGCTAACGAAACTCTCCCTCGACCTCAGCTGGATCTAGAGTTCGTGGGACGTCACCGAGCTGAACGTGTGTAGATCGCGGAGGTGTCGTACCTTCGGTGCTAGGATCGGTCGGATCGTGAAGACGTACGACTACATCAACCGCATTGTCATAACGCTTCCGCTTTCGGTCTACGAGGGTACGTAGACAACACTCTCCCTTCTCGTTGCTATGCATCACCTAGATAGATCTTGCGTGATTGTAGGAAATTTTTTGAAATTACTGTGTTCCCCAACAATTCGGACATCGGAATGGTTCCGAAGAAGTTCGGGTATTTTCTGGAGTACCGGGAGGTTACCGACACCCCCCGGGGAGTTGTTGGGCCTTAATGGGCTTTAGGGAAAAGGAGAGAAGGGCCTCAAGGGGTGCCCCCCCATGGGCTGGTCCGAATTGGACTAGGAGGGGGCGATGCCCCCTCCTTCCTTCTCCCCTCTCCCCCCTCCCCTTCTTCTCCTAGTTGGAATAGGAAAGGGGAGGCGAATCCTACTTGGACCGGGAGTCCAAGTAGGACTCCCCCCTTGGCGTGCCCCCTCTAGGGCCGGCCTCCTCCTTCCCCTTCTTTATATACGGGGGCAGGGGGCACCCTAGAACACACCAAGTTTTTCCTTAGCCGTGTGCGGTGCCCCCCTCCACAGTTACACACCTCAATCATATCGTCGTCGTGCTTAGGCGAAGCCCTGCACCGGTAACATCATCATCATCGTCGCCACGCCGTCGTGCTGACGGAACTCATCCTTATCCTCAACTAGATCAAGAGCACGAGGGACGTCATCGAGCTGAATGTGTGCTGAACGCGGAGGTGCCGTACGTTCGGTACTTGGATCGGTTGGATCGCGAAGACGTTTGACTACATCAACCGCGTTACTAAACGCTTCCACTTTTGGTCTACGAGGGTACGTGGACACACTCTCCGTCTGGTAGCTATGCATCTCCCAGATAGACCTTGCGTGATCGTAGGAATTTTTTTGAAATACTACGTTCCCCAACACTATGTTGAATAATAAATAAAGATGGCCATATGCAATGATTGATGCAGAGGCCGGGGATCTTCGCCTCCTTTTCCAAAAAAATAAAATTTCACATACATACTAGATGAAATTAGTTATGTCACATTTAAGTCCTCCATAACACGATCAAGACGCTGTAAATTTGGTGCAAATTGTTGATTGCTCCTTGGCGCATGATTTTTTTCAGGGGCTCCTATACGGCGCTTCTGGCGCCAACCGAGAAGGTCGGGACTTCGGCCTGGCCATCGGCCAGTGGCTTGGTGATATAAAAGCACTCGCGCTACCACTCTTTCATGGTTTTGATGAATGTTCCCTTGAACCAGTCGACATTCTAGTTCTTGTTGATCATGCCCCCCCCCCACACACACACACTCTGCGAGTTCGGAGCCGTTGGGCTTCGGCTTGATGCCGAACGTCTTCAGCCACAACCCAGAGTGTGGCTTGACACTGAGGAAGGCCTCGTAGGCAATTATGAACGAGGTGAGGTGGAGGATTGAGTTCGGAGCCAGATGATGGAAGTCGAGCCCGTAGTAGAAAAGGATCGTGCGCACGAAGGGTGTAGCAAGAACCCCAGACCTCGGACGAGGCGGGGAATGAAGACGACCCTCTCCCCTAGCTTGGGAGTGGGTACTCGCTGGTCTGGCTCCAGTGGCCAGGTGGCGACGTTGACGGAGATATACCCCGCGCTTCGCAGCTCCAGGGTCGTGCCCTCCATGATGGAAGAGTCGGCCCAGTGCCCCTTTAGGGTGGCTTCAGCCATTGCTAGGAGATGGAAGCTATGGATGCTAAGGGGGATGAGTGGATTCAGAGTTGGATCTGGGCGCTGGAGCTCGAGGGGTAGTATGCAAGGGGGTATGAAGGCGTGAAAATTGTTACTGCTTTCCCTTTGCTCTTATAAGCCTATGAATGGCCAAGAGCCCCCCTGTCGCGCCATAGAAATCATCACGACCCAAAAAGATGCCATTATGCACATGGGAGGAAGCAAAATCTTGTTGATATACCTTAGAAAACGGGCATGATCTCTGCTTCGACGGGACATGCCAATGAGAAGATCGCCTCGGGCCGCGATTCGAGCAACAGTAATTGACCCGCCTAGTTATAGGTGGTGACGTTTTGGAAAAGTTGTCAGGCAATATGTACTATTCACACATATGCGGTTGGCCTTCGAGGCTAAGTTATCTCGCGTCTTCGGATGCTGGCAAGTTTGGTTGAACCATGCTCAAAGGGTGGATTCCTTTAAGAAAAGGCCTGATGAAAGCTTGTAATAAACGGGAGGATCCCAGATCATCGAAAGAGGAAATCGTCTATCGAGTCGAAGACTCCAAAGCCGAAGTCGTACAGCTGAAGAAGTGCGTCGTCCTCGGTGTCGAAGACTAGTTCAGTGGCTACTGACGATGTCCTGGAGTAGGGGGTACCAACCTAGTTGGCCCACAATCCATGGGCCGAACTTATGGGCCACTGTTCTCACAAGGAAGGATTCTGGAAGCCTCACAGTTTGACATGATAAAGATGGACTCTGCCGAAGACTTGACATGTACTCAAGGATAGCTTAGGCCACCGTCATGTGCATCTTTAGATTGGCGGCCGACCATGTGTGGCCCTAGGTACCCCCTGGCATCTGTATAAGTTGAGGGGTTTAGCCTGTAGAAGATCAATCATAATCACATCCACCAAGCTCTAGGGTTAGAACACAACTTACGATCTCGAGGTAGATCAAGTTTGTACTCGATACACAATCATCAATACAATCAAAGTAGGACATAGGGTATTACCTCCTCTAGAGGGCATGAACCTGGGTAAATACCGTCTCCTTCGTCCCTTGATAACCATAGATCTGGGATCCATAGCTCGGGACCCCCTACCCTGAGGTCTGCCGGTTTTAGTAGCGACAGCTGGGTTAATAGGTTAGTTCCCAAAAACGATACTCCCTCCGTTCCGAATTACTTGTGGCACGTATGGATGTATCTAGATGTATTTTAATTCTAGATACATCCATTTCAGCGACGAGTAATTTGGGACAAAGGGAGTATAAAATAGCATAAAATGCATATAAAGTATCCAAGATTAATAATATAATAGCATGAAACAATCAAGAATTTAGATAAAGCTGGCGACGTATCAGATGTTGCTCGTGGAAGTGTCATGGGTCATGTATTCACGGTGGTAGCAGATGTTGCTTTTAATGCATAGTCTTGTTACCACAGGGAGTACTTTCAAAGGAAAAGAAGGAAGATGAGCATTCTTATCACCCCGGGCTAGAATCTCCTCACACAGGTTCAAGCAGTCAACATGCGCTTTGTTGAAACTGCGAAACCATCTAGACACTACTTCATCCGCTTCTTCCTTGGAGTATTTTTTTCATGAGGAATCAATGTAGCATCGATCGTCAGTTAATTATTTTCAGCTATTTCGGTAGTAGAAAATCATTTTTTTATGGAGGACCAATTAGCAACCTGGGCAATTTGTCTCGCTGTCCTTGCCAATCACTTGGGAATAATATTCATCCCTAACCTCCTCATCACTGTTCTCATCTACCATTTGGGCATCATATTCAGCGCTATCCTCCTCGTGATCGCTACCATCCTTGTCATCGATGTCCTCCTACATCACTTGGGCACGGCATTGGTCGTCCTTGTCCACCTGTGTGCTCACGAGGCAAGCCATGGCGACTCGCCGCTGTTGATCGAGGGAGGGCGTGGTAGGGGAGGCACCGGGTTTCGCGTGCGGGCGTTTCATGTGTGCATAACCGCTGCCTAGGATGGCATATTTCTCTCGGAGAGCGAAGGGATAATAACGTAATAGAGTAACATTAGATTGAAAGTGAATGGATGACTAGTCCTGATTTCTGTTGATTCTCATCTGGAAAAGATGAAAAGAAGATATACATATAGAAGAGATGAGAAGAAGAGGTACTTATTCAGGGGCATCCTTCAAAATAGATGCCTTTCGACAATAAAGAGAGAAGGGACATGACTCTTTGGGGTTGAACACACCCCTTACCAATAACGGTTTCTTAATTAACATGTACTACTAATTAACCATAGACATGTGTTAATTTATTCCTAACATCCACATCGGCTGAACGATCATCAGTAGCCATGTCGTCTAACTGGTTGCAAGTCCTTTGGAGCAAATAACACCCTCACAACAAACTGACCATACTCTAGGATCGAGTCGTTTGGAGAACTAATAGTTGCAGCCACCCCATCTTGGAAAGTCCATTGAAACACCATTTTCTCCACTTGTAAGCGAACATCCAATTTCCCCTTCTCCCTCACGGCGACGACATGTTGGTTTAGGCTCCCGCTCCCAACGAATTTGTCACCAAACAGCACAATCTCATGATCAAAGCCACTGCTGAAAGAGGTAAATCTCAAATGATGAGGATGGTCAACCTTTGCAAAGATTTGTATCACAGCCTCAACACTCAGTGAAAGGAACATGAAGTCTATCTCCAAGCTGCAACTGTCACCTGGAATCCGTCCTGTTCGCATCTCATCAAAACGTGACTGGAAATAAATCTCAACATACGCAGAGAGCAACTGTTCGTCAGGCGATCCATCTCCCTCCTTCACCCATAGATCAACTTCCAGTAATGCCTGATCCGGTGCATACATCCCTCGACAGGGGCTACAAAGAGGTAAGGTGAAAAAATCCTGCAATTTGACAACTCGTCAGAACTAACCAAAGTAATCCACTCGCAAGCAAATTAGCATTTATTAACAGAATAAAGTCTTAAGATATGCATCTTCATGTTTAAATCAAGTATAGAGTAGACCCTTTCAGTCACTCTGTTTCAGAATACAAACATATACAGACGAATTTGATGTTGTCCACAACGACCGGCGGAGAGGCTGGTAGCAAGAGATGGAGAGAAAATGCTCTCGTGTATGTGTACTGCATGAGCAGGGTTGGCATGAAGATCATCAGGGAGTGTGCTAGTAGTAAGCTAAGCGATGGTAGTGGTCATAGTAAGAACCATGAAACTGTAACAAGATAGCCATGATTTTTAACACATGCCCAATCTCCAGAGGGAGTGTTGATACTTGGTATCAGACTGTCTAACAATGGCAGTTGACGAGTCCTAATGGAGTAGTTTGTTGGTGATTTTTTTTAACAAAAAGAGTAGCCTGTTGGATGCCAATGTATGACTCCAGTTGTAAGCCAGCCCAGTTTAACTGTTATACATAGGGTTGTTGGGTTCTAAAGGGATCAATGCACCCGGAAATTTCCCCCAAATTCTACAAAAAAGACAAATAATTTGAAAATAAGAAAAGCTACAATCTAAGGGGTGTGGTTATGGCGTGCGTTGATGCCCAATGACCATTTAATTAAGCCTAGATGTGTAAATGAACAGCACGGGAAAAAGCCCAGTGATCCAAGCTTATTTACTCTCCCCCTGCATCCAGTTGGATTTTCTTAATGCCTATGTATATATAATCAAAATACTGCCTTCCGAAAATGAAAGCAGAAGAATATAAATCTGATTACCAGGTTTTTATGTTTTTTGTGTAATCATATAATATTTTAGGAATCTGATGGCATGTTGATGTATAGAATGTTTAACAACATGTACCTTATAATGTGTTGACCCTTGAAAATGAAGGACTACTTGCATCTACTCGAAGATAATTTTAAAACATGGGCAAAGAAGCTAATTGACATAATCTGTTATGGCTGTACATCCACTGTTCAGAAAAAAATAACTATTCTTAAAACAAACAGGCCTTAATTACCTGCTCAATTGTGACAGCATCCTCTCTCCGATGGTTAAAGATAAGATTCCGCCGTGGTTCCAGAACATCTCTAACAGCGAAAATTCCATAAACACTAACGGGATAGGATTCATAGCTTGCCAAGCGCAAAGAGAAGACCTGTAGCATGGTTCTTGGATTGGGATACCCAAGAATTGATGCAGCTGCAAATATAGAGGACAAAAAGGCAAAATGCTGAGTAAAAAACATAAGTAGTGCAACTGCAGATTACTACTCCCTCCGTTCCTAAATACAAGTCCTTTTAGAGATTCCAATATAGACTACATACGGAGCAAACTGAGTGAATCTACACTCTAAAATACATCTATATATATTTGTACGTAGTCTATACTGAAATATCTAGAAAGACATATATTTAGGAAAGGAGGGAGTAAGATTGAAAGGCCCTTACTCGTGGAAGTGTCATGGGTCATGTATTCGCGGTGGTAGCAGATGTTGCTTGTAATGCGTAGACTTGTTACCACGGGGAGTACTTTCAAAGGAAAAGAAGGAAGACAAGCATTCTTATCACCCCGGGCTAGAATCTCCAAACGCAGGTTCAAGCAGTCTCCATACGCTTTGTTGAAACTGCGCAACCATCTGGACACTACTTCATCCGCTTCTTCCTCGGAGTATTTTTTTCCTGAGGAATCAATTCAGCATCTATCATCAGTTAATTATTTTCAGCTATTTTTCTAGTACAAAATCATTTTTTTCATGGAGGACCAATTAGCAACCTGGGCAATTTGTCTCGCTGTCCTGGCCAATCACTTGGGCATAGTATTCATCCCTAACCTCCTCATCATCACTGTTCTCGTCTGCCGTTTGGGCATCAGATTCATCGCTGTCCTCCTCGTCATGGCTACCATCCTTGTCATCGCTGTCCTCCTCCATCAGTTCGGCATGGCACTGGTCGTCGCTGTCCAACTGTGCGCTCACGAGCTCAAGAGCGCGCAAGGAAAACCGATCTGATTCTGCGCAATTGAAACAAACAATTGATCAATGATGTCGTATTGGGTTGGCACAAAGGATATGCGAAGATCAATGGGGCATAGAGTAGAGGTGCACAGATAGACTCACCTGTGGACACGAGCGCATGGTCATCACGGGGTTCTGTAATTTGGGCCGCGGGGCCGCCTAGGGATGACGGCTGATCCGTGCAAACGCTGGGGTGGCCTTCTCCGTGAACAGAAAGGCAGAGGATCTCAGTATCCTCTGATCCATGCCGGAGCTGCCCTTCCGTTGGAGGAGGCGCCATTACCACGCGAGGGTTTCTCTGAAGACGGCGGCGCTTTGTGGTTCGGGCGTTTAGCGAGAGTAGGAACGCTCACATCAAGCCGAGCGCAACATGGACCGGCCTGCGCGGGAGGCCACTGCCTCGTTTTTTTTCCTGTTTCTTTCACTTTTTTGTTTTCGTTTTTTGATTTTTTAAATTTTGTTTACACTTCCAAATGGTCAGATTGCAAAGGTTAGTAAATTTGTTCTCCAAAATCTTTTTTTTTTGCGATGGTAATAGAGTTTTATTCCATAGTCACAGGGTTACAATCGAGAGGCACAAGTTCCTCCACACACGGTGGTCCTCGACCCAGCCATACAACAGTTGTTCGCTCTATACGACTGTAAGAGGCCAGACGATCTGCTACCCTATTTTGTAAGCGGCTAATTTTCATAGGAATAAAAACTCTATCTACCATGAGATGACGAATCTCATTTACAAGATGCCCATAGGCAGATCTAGATAAGCTAGTACCAGATAAAGAGGAAATAGCTAACGAAGAATCAGACTGGACGATGATGGGAAGCTCGCAATGCTGGATCGCTATCGCCATGCCCTGCATTACGCATGTAGTTCCGCCTCGAGTGCGTTATTGCAATTGAAGATGTAGCGATAAGCAGCGAAGATAATACTTCCATCATGCCTCCGTAGTACCATACCTGCTGCAGCTGACCCATCCGTTTGAGAAAAGGCTCCATCTACTGATAACGAAGCATGGCCCGGCGGAGGTGGCGGCCATGGAGGGGCCTGCGACACCACCTTTGCGACCCTGCTTTGCTCCTGCACCATCGGCATCTTGCCCTTGATAATTTCGTCCGTTGAGAACCTTCTGGCCAGGTCCAGCGATTGCATGTAGCTCTGTAGATATAACACCGTAAACGGAATCGGAGGCACTTCCGTCCCATGTGATAAATCATTGCGAAGCGACCATAGACGCCACAGCAACATGATCACACAGTCCTTCAAGAAGTCATCACAATTTGCAAAGACATTTAGTAACCAGTCTTTTCCCGTATCTAGCAAGTCTTCCTGCCGGGGTAGTTTCCATACCGCCCTCATTTGTGCCCAAACCTCTTGAGCATAATCACATGCAACGAGCGCATGGAAGCTAGTCTCTTCTTTTTTTGCACATAGAGAACAAGTGTCTCTCTTTGTAACGTGGTGATATTTCTTGCATGCATTAGTGGCCAGCGCCCCAGAGACCACCTTCCATGCAAATATTTTCATTTTTAGTGGTACTCTAGCATTCCAAATACATTGCCAAACAGGTCTTTGTCCGGTGGGATGAGTACTGGACGCACCCACCATGTTCTGGGCCTGATCTAGCGTGGCAAGACGATAGGCACTTCGGACCGTGAACTGTCCATTCCTTTCCAGAAACCAAGCTAGAAAGTCTTGCCCGTTTCTCGGTGAGGTGCGTATTTTCAAAATCTCACGAACATCCAGTTCCCAAAAGTGTTCCCTTAAGAGCCGCTCCTTCCAAGCACCATGCTCGTCAATAAAATCTGCAACCCAATGTAGACGGCAATTTCCTTTCGGTGTAACTGGACGCAGGTTATGGCCTCGTGGAATCCAAGCATCTCTCCAAGTTTTGATTAACGAACCATCTCCCACATGCCAAATAATCCCTTTCTTCACAAGCTCAAGACCATGGACAATTCCTTTCCATACAGCAGACGAATTAGCAGGGAATACCGTGTCTAAGAGATTTCCGTGGGGGAAATATTTAGCTCTGAGTAATCTCGCGCATAAACTTTAGGGGCAATCCAGCAAACGCCAAGCCTGCTTTGCAAGCAGGGCCTGGTTGAAAGCTCGCATGTCACGAAAACCCATGCCACCCATAGCCTTTGGTAATTTTTTTTGTATGTGTCTAATAAAAATGTTGGCATAACAAGATGATATGATGGCAAATTTGTGTGCCATTTCTCTTGGCAACTTGTGTGTTTATCATACGGTCATGGCAACTCTGTTCATATGGCAAAAATCTTGGACATATGGTACTTTTTATTCATACGTCATGTCAAGCTTTGTACGTTGAAGCAATGCAAGATCATGGCAAAATATGTGCCATTTCATTTCCCATAAGGATGGCAAACTTAGTTGCCGGGTTAGGCTTGTAGGGTGGTCTACTTACCAATTTGACAGCTTAAATTATAAGCAGTTTAACATGGTTCTTCTTACCTATTAATGCAAGATCAAGTAGTGCGTGTGTAGATTTTTCAAAAAAAAAATCAAACTGCATGCATAAAAATATCCCCATTTAAAATATGAAATATACATTATATACATAGTGAGACATATTTTTATGTTGACATTTTCCTTAATATATTGGTCAATGCTTGAATTTCAAAAAAACTTATACACCTAACGTTCTGGAACGAAGTAAGTATATTTTTTTTCTAGTCAAATACTCCCTCCGTTCCAAAATACTTTTGGAGAAATGAATAAAAATGGATGCATCAAGATATGTTTAGATACATCCATTCTTTCGACAAATATTTCCAGACGGAGGGAGTATATAATAAATTTTTTACCTAAAATACGAGGAAGACTTATAAATCGAGTCTAAGGATATATTGACATGGAGGGAGTTTTTTCAATGGGTCTGTCTAGGACACATCTAGATATGACATAATTATGTCACATCTAACCTGATGTCCACTATGTTTGTGGTCTATTTTTTTGTCTAAATTTTTTTTTATTCTTTGTTGATGCGTTATTTGTGGGAGCTTAGATATGACATCCTTAGAAAACATCTAGATGTTAATTAGACAAACTGTTTTTCAATACAAAAAACAAATGCTAGATGTTGTGTACTCTAAGGCATCTCTAGCGGAGCCAAAACCATAAAATAACCGTTATTTTAGGGTTTGGGTGGAAAAACGGATCCTGTCATATTCCTTAAAATCGGCTGACCCGTATAGTTTTCTGAGGAAAACCTTAAAACGAGACTCCAATGCTCCCTTTGTTTCAAAATATAGTGCATGCATGGTTCCCGCGCTTCAAATTTGACTATAAATTTAACCAACGAGTCCGACTGTAGCGGGAGCAAAAATTATACGAGTGAATTTATATTCAAAAGAAGTTTTCAATTATATAATTTTTCCTCCCGCCGCAGTCGGTCTCGTTGGTTAAATTGATGGTCAAAGTTAAACCTCGGAAAACGTGGACGCACTATATTTTAAAACAAGGAGTACCTCGTATATTTAAGGATTCAAGATAAAATTTTCAGTTCCCCTAAAAAAACAGTTGGCGGGAGAGAAGTTTCGGGTCCAACCGCCACCGGCCGATGCCGCTATCCAACCCCGCCCCTCTAGCCAAATATTCGACGAGACAAGCCTGATTCGTACGGGACCGCCCACCTCTCCTCCCACCACCGTCGTCGGCCGATGCCGCCTCCTCCTTCCCTACGTTGGCCTCTCACCGCCACGACCACGACCGCAGCGTCGGCTCGTCTGGCCGCGACGACCGTCCACATCTGTGGGTGGCCGCGCCAAAGGACGACTGGCCTTACCGCACCGCTGGCATTGTCGTGCTGGCCTCTAGCGCCCTCCTGCCGGTCCTGCTCGTAAGCAGCTTTGTGCTTGCCGTCATTCGGTGTCAGGTGTAAGACAATAAGTTTTTGGGGGAACCAGCACAACCCTCTAGGAGTGGCTTATCTCATTATATATAATGGATGTGTTACAATACGTACATAAGTACAGAAGTTATACATAGTCTAACACCCTCCCTCAATCTTAGCCACTTTCTAAAGAACTGAGAAGGGTAAGATTGCGCCTACAAGCCTCAAACTGTGGTAGAGGTAAAGGCTTAGTGAAGATGTCTGCAAGTTGATCCTTAGATGAGATAAACTTGATCTGGAGTTGCTTCTGTGATACACGTTCCCGTACAAAGTGATAGTCAACTTCAATGTGTTTCGTTCGGGCATGAAATACTGGATTTGCAGAAAGATATGTAGCACCGATGTTATCACACCAAAGAATAGGAGGCTGTGGTTGAGACAAACCCAACTCCTGAAGCAAAGACTGCACCCAAATAATCTCTGCAGTAGCATTAGCCACAGCCTTGTACTCAGCTTCAGTACTGCTACGTGACACAGTAGCCTGTTTCCGAGCACTCCAGGCGATCAAATTAGGGCCAAAGAATACTGCATAACCCCCCGTGGATCGCCTGTCATCTGGGCTACCAGCCCAATCTGCATCAGAGAAGGCCGAAAGGACCCGAGAGGAAGTCGGCCGAATATGCATACCAAATGTCAGGGTGAACTGAACATAACGAAGAATGCGTTTAACAGCAGCCCAATGAGTATCTTTGGGAGCCTGAAGATACTGACAAACCCTGTTAACAGCATAAGAGATATTTGGTCTCGTGATCGTCAAGTACTGAAATCCACCAACAATGCTCCTGTACTCTGTGGCATCTGCAGGAGACAAAAGCTCACCATCAACAGCTGTTATCTTGTCGGTAGACGACATGGGTGTGGTGGTCGGTTTGCACTTCAGCATGCCCGCTCTTTGTAACAACTCCAAGGAGTACTTCTTCTGCGTAAGGACAAGACCAGTAGCACGAGAAGTGACCTCAACTCCAAGAAAGTAGTGAAGCTTCCCAAGATCTTTGACCGCAAAATCAGCACCAAGAGAGCAGACAAGAGCATCAGCAGCATACTGAGAAGAGCTGACAAGGATAATATCATCGACATATACCAAAAGATACATAGTGACTTCTGGCTTCTGTAGAAGAAATAATGAAGTGTCAGCAGTGGACGACACAAACCCATGAGCACGAAGGGCAGAGGCAAGGCGGGCATTCCAGGCACGAGGAGCTTGCTTCAAACCATATAGTGCTTTGGAGAGACGACAGATATAGTCAGGACGATCAGGATCAGAGAAACCAGGCGGCTGTTTCATATAGACCTCTTCCTCCAAAAATCCATGTAGAAAAGCATTCTGCACATCAAGTTGACGAAGTGACCAACCACGAGA